TATATATATATATAAACATTGCACCAATCACTGGTGAAGATTGATAACAACAACAACCCAGTGGAATCCAACAAGTGGGGTCTGGGGAGGGTAGTTCAAGACCCTCGGCTAAAGAAGATGAAAAGAGACAATGGCGCAGTAATATGAGAATAAGCAAGAAAGAAAGAAAGAGAGATAACACCAGCAACATAATAACCAGAAATAGAGAGAAAGCAATAACAATAAGCAGTAACAATGGTACAATACTACATATACAATAGAGTAATACAGATACAACAAGAGCCACTAGCAACTTAAGACACTATACTATCAGACTAGCCTCCTGCGACCAAACCTGCAGTCCTAAAGAAGTAATATGGACACAATCGAAGCCGCTAGCACCCTAAGACAAACACACGCTAGCCTCCTACTTTCTAACCTACAACCTTAATGCTCGCTCTCCACAACTTCCTATCAAGGGCCATGTCCTCGAAAATTTGAAGTCGCACCAGGTCCTCCTTGATCATCTCTCCCCAATATTTCTTTGGCCTCCCTCAATCTTTTCTCACACCCATCAAAGGCTAGTCGTTCACACCTCCTAACTGGGGCATCCACGCTTCTCCTCCGCACGTGCACAAATCATCTAAGCCTAGCTTCCCGCATCTTGTCTTCTAAGGGAGCCACACCCATCTTTCCCCGAATATCTTCATTCCTAATCTTATCCAGCCTAGTGTGCTCGCACATCTATCTCAACATCCTCATTTATGCAACTTTCATCTTCTGGATATGAGAATTCTTGACTGGCGAACACTCAGCACCATACATCATGGCCGGTCTAACCACCGCTCCATAGAACTTACCTTTAAGTTTCAGGGGCACTTTCCTGTCACACAAGACACCAGACGCTAGCCTGTGTTTCATCCATCCCACCCCTATACGGTGCGTAACATCCTCATCAATCTCCCCGTCCTCCTGGATAACCGACCCCTGGTACTTGAGGCTCTCTTTCTTGGGAATGACTTGAGATTCAAGCCCCACGTCTATGTCTGCTTCTCCCGAAACGCCGCCGAACTTGCACTCCACGTATTCTGTCTTAGTCCTACTTAACTTGAAACCTTTAGACTCAAAGGTATGTCTCCAAATCTCCAACCTCTCGTTAACACCGTCTTGCGTCTCATCGATCAGAACAATATCATCGGCGAATAACATACACCATGGCATCTCCCCTTGTATATGGTGTGTCAGTGCGTCCATCGCCAGTGCAAATAAGAACGGGCTGAGCGTCGAGCCTTGGTGTATAACAACCGGAAAATGCTCAGAGTCGCCCCCCCCCCCCCCACTGTCCTAATCCGAGTCTTAGCTCCATCTACATTTCCTTAATGACCCTAATATAAGCAACTGGAACACTTTTCACCTCCAGGCATCTCCAAATAACTTCCCTTGGGACCTTGTCATATGTTTTTTCTAGGTCAATAAATACCATATGCAAATCCTTCTTCCTATCCCTATATAGTTCAACCAACCTCCTTATAAGATGGATAGCTTCCGTAGTAGAACGTCCAGGCATGAACCCAAACTGGTTATCGGATATCGACACCGACCTCCTCACCCTCACTTCCACTACCCTCTCCCAAACCTTCATGGTATGACTTAGTAACTTGATACCCCTATAGTTGTTACTCTGGATATCTCCTTTGTTCTTGTACAACGGTATCATCGTACTCCACCTGCATTCTTCTGGAATTTTTTTCATCCTGAAAATAATATTAAACAGTCCAGTTAGCCACTCCAATTCCGTTCTTCCCACCAACTTCCAGAATTCTACCGGAATTTCGTCGGGCCCGGTTGCTCTGCCCCTGCGCATCTTACGCATAGCTCTCACGACCTCCTCAACCTTAATGCGCCTACGGTGGCTACAATCTTGATGACTCTCACAGTGCTCCAATTCCCCTAGCACATTATCTCTATCCCCTTCGTCATTCAACAATGAGAATTGATAACAAGAATTAAAAAATGTTATTTTGAAAATATTTCCACTTAGAAATGTCAATATCGTTTCGTATGCATCATCTCAAATACGAACTATTGAGTGTAATTTCCGTCATATAGGTTTCAAGCTTTCGTTCTTCTTCTCTTGTTAATAATTGTAATTCTTCGTCAAAAGAATTAAGGGTGTAAGGGTGTGTTTGGTATAACGGAAAATATTTTCCGCGGAAAATATTTTTCAAAAAAATATTTTCTTGGAAAACAAGTAGTAATCTTATTCATTTTCTGGTGTTTGGTACGCAAATTAAGGAAAATGACTTCTCAAGATAATTCATAAATAATTTAGATATAATAAACATGAAGCCATAAACTTCAAACCAACAACCTTCCGAACCCACAAATTTCATAAACTTTCGAACCACTAAACTTTCAAAACCGCGGAATTTCTAACCCGTAAACTTTATAATTATTAAACCCGTAAACTTTCAAATACATAAACCTCCGAACTCATAATTTTGGAACTTGTAAAATTTTGAACCTTTACACCGATAAATAAAAAAATTAAAACTGAAAAATATATTTTAAAAATATTTTTTTTTGGAGGGGGGGGGGTGACAGTATAGCGAAAAAAAAACAGAAATTTAAATTACAGAAAAAAGGTAAAAACTTTTTTTTTGTGCGGGTTGGGGTTGGTTGGGGGGGAGGGGGTGTCACACCTCCTTTTTCTCTACCCCGAAAGGGGTATAGGGGAGTTTTTCCAATTAAGCTGACAATGACCGAAACGGGATTATTTATTCAAAATACAGAATCGCCACTTGAGATAATTTATGGTGCCCCAAGTCACCGGTTCAAAATCCCGAATCGAGGAAAGATTGACTCTGTTTTGCAGTCCGCGAAACACAGAAATCCAGGTAAGGAATTTTGTTAACCCGGGAGAAGGTGTTTGGCATTCCTGGATTCTGGAGTTTTAGCACGGTCGCTCAACTGTTAATACTGGCCTATTTATTTGATTTTTAAAACATCTTTGAAACCTATATGCATTTTTTATTCCCTTTAAACCGCTTTTAATAATCCGATTGTTATACAGCTAATTATTTAGATTACACATCGCGGATCGTATCACGAGAACCGTACACACAATCCACAACGTGTTTATTTTATTAACAAAATTAAATTGTGGCCGAGTCACATAAATGTACTCCCAGATTTTTAGAAATTAAGCATCACAACTGCGTCACGGGAACTGACCCGCAGCTATGATAATTTATTTAATTAACGCGCCTAAAGCAAACTACGAGAGTTCAAGAAATTTTCCTACATTAGTTAAGATGATTTATACGAGGGCCATAGCCTATGTGATTTGATGGTACACCTCGATTTATTTGAAAAAGAGATTTGTAGTCAACTAAAGTAAATTGAGGATGCGTAGGTTCATTCTAAATTAAAGTTCAATCTAAAGAAAACTAATTGTAAATATGCATTGGGGTACTTCACTAAGCCTTTTAATTACCTCTTTAATAAAAAAAAAGGGACCAGCTGTAAGCCCAACTTAAGAGCTTGATCAAGGAAATAAGGCGTTTGCAACTGCCTGGGCTCTAAGATGAGCCCAAAGAGAGCAGGCATTCAAAGACCTTGCCAGGCCCGAGTTGACCATAGCTGTCTCATGTTTTGGGCCTAAGCCTGAACCCAGCAGCCTCACAAAACTCTTCATTGAATTAGAGCAGAATTTTAACAGAAGGAAACAGTTAAGGGCCAACACGATTGGGCTCCAAATTGAACCCAAAACACGAGATGACCAGATCTGGTCACTCCAGGCCTTTTGATGGACGCGGCCTACTTATGGGGCCAAAATCAAACCCACATATTTTGCAAGTAGGCTCTTAGTGATAATGTCATGGTTGAAATTCATACCTCTTAATTCACGAATAACAACAAGAAAACTATACGAAATTCTGGAAAACTAAACATGCATGAATAATCAGATTATAGACTTCTAATTCATTTGACATGCCCTTAATAACAAGTCATAAGCATAAAACATGCCTTAAACTACTCGGCAACCATATTGACATCAAATACATGATCCATTTAGCAATGCTGAAATCTAATACTATTAAACTGAAGTGATTTAGTAGCCACACAATGCATCTTTCAAACATGTGTGAGATACTAACCAATATCCTCTAACGAAACATCTAAATAGAGCTATCATGAACAATACATGGGAAGATGAACTAACTTAAGCACTCATATGTGAGATTCCCAACTAAAAAAAAATTGTTGACTGTCATGCAAATCGGAAATACTTAAACAGAAACAACAAAACTAAGAAGATCCCAGAATACTAAGCTACTTGAAAAAAATCAGACTTAAAACGAAAACTGAAGCTTAAACATTTGAGTATCAAACTTCATTTAGCATTTACACATTCGCTCTAATGTTACAAGTATCATTATATTCACTTCCATTTCAAGGTTTCGAAGGTGTACCTGGATATAACAAAACCAAAACCAAAAATGTGCTTGAAGTCAGCTATTAGCAGCAAAGCAGTAGCAAGTTCACAATATAGAACAGCAATGGAAATTCACTCAAACGGCATCAAAAAACCAAGCCTCACTTCAGCCTAGAAAGCTAGAAAATCCCCAGAAAATACCACTTTGAAACTTTTTCCCCAAAGAAAAGAAATCCAGCTCAAAGAACTATAAAGATTTTCAGCCGCTTTTGTTTTCTATTTTTTTTGGTTTCTGATCTCTTGCCCTAGAATTCAGGGAAATGAGACTCCTATAGAGGGGTTTTAGGGCAGCAGAGATTGATTTTTTCACCTTTAGGTCCTCTCCCTGTTTTACTTTACCCCCCCAAGTTCCTTAAAGAAGAATATCTGAACCCCCCTTTTCTTGGCATGCAAGCCTTCTCTTACTTATAGAAGCTTCCTCCCTAATTGAAAAGATTCTCTAGACCCAAATTTCCAAAGTACCCCTGACAGTCTAGTTTTTACCTTTCAAAAAAATACCAGCAGTTGGGCCATATAGCCAAACATGCTCAAACCTACCCTTGGGCTTCTTTACTAACAAGCCCAAACTAAATCCCAAACCATAATAAGAAATGAGTTCAATCGAAAATTTAAGCAAACATCCACTGAATTTAAACGAAAAATGGACTTTTAAAGAAACACTCGAAAGACAATAATTATTTAACAAATACAACTAAACTAATTGTTAAGCTACTGAGATGGAGATTCAAACAACCTTAAATAAACACTGAAATTAACATAACAATTCAAAACTGGAATTATGCAATGCAAAAATTCAATAGATATGCTAAAACACGGAAATTGGGGAAAATATGAAGGGATACTGGTTATTACCTAAACAAATGTGGAAGAAAGCTTTGATAAGCAGTGGAAAAACAAAGGGTTTGAATAACTCCGGGGTGACCCGAAATGAACGCTAATCGATTGTTCTTGCCAAGAACCATCGACTAGCATGGACTTCGAGCCAACACGAGCCTTGAAAAACCAATGAACGGTCAAAGGAGAAACACACTCGATCTTTTTTGTTTTGTTAGATCCGGCTCTGAGAGCATTTGATGGGGATTTTGGGGAATATGGTGATGGATTAGTAAACAGGGACAGGTGGTGATTGTGTGGTATGAACTTAGGGCTGATTGGAGTTACGCCGCCGGCCGGTGGGGTTTGGGGATTTGGGGGCGACGTGGATTGACTAGGGTTTGGTGGGAGTTGAACTGGGGTGTTCGTAATGGGGGGGAGGCTGTTTAGGACATTTTATATGGAATGGAGGTTAGTTCCGGACCGTTGGATCACTAGGTCCAACGGCTGTGATGAAACAAAGGCAAAACGGGATCGTTTGGTGGTGGGGGAAGTTGGACCGGGTATTTCAATGTTTGGGCTTGGATTTGGGCAGTTATTTGGGTGTAAAACTAGCCCAATTAACTTTCAAAATCCATCTCTTTTTCTCTTTTTCCTTTTTCAACTTTTCTCTCTTTTTTTCTTTTCTTTAATTAGATAAAATCCTAAATCAATTTCTTAAATTATTCACATTGTAAAATTACACTAATTATCTAATTAAAATAATTACAAAGATTACTTGATCCTAAATTGAAAGAGAAAAATCACTAATCTAAAAATTAAAAGGTAGAATGTAAACATGAGCCATTTCTTTTATTTTCATTTTTTAATAAAATAATTAATTAACTAATTAATCCTAAAATATAAAACAAAGATCTAAATGCAGTGCGTGGCATTTTTTTTA